TACAATTTAGTTGCTCGGCGCTGCGGCTACCACGCTGACGACTCCGGCGCTACCCTTAAAAAGTATCGTTTCGTTGTTGCGCTTACGATCCGCGACGACTGTTGTGCAGAATACTGAGGCGGCTACTCATGCGTGCCACGCCGCTTTCAAATCGGCTCTAAGGTTAAGTTTTCTATTTAGTCAGCAATTTTAATGTGGCTTCGTATCTGCAGAGTTCAACTTATTCCTGTATTATATGTAGTTAGCAACGACTAAGTATAGCGACACCTCGCAGACCACGCGTCGGCTCACATGCCACGTTTACACTAAGCTAATTTAAGTATGCTAAGTATTCTCCACACTGAATCGCAGTGTACCAACTGATCCACTGCCTTAACACTATGAATAAGTGTGAAACTTAACCCTGAATGATCTAAAATAATGTGGAATGTAATCGGGACTGTATGCTTTCAACATTTGCTATATATCCTGTGAAACACCACGTCGAATATAAATGTACTGAGAGCGTAATTACGCGGACGATCAGCGGTTCGTCCGCATAATGTGTGGCGACATTTAGTCAGCCTGATCGAACTGACGTAAGTCTGTCTTATACACCTCTGCTACACCGCCCTATCGTTAAGTCGTTACTCATTTTATTTTATTGTTAACTATGTATTAATTGACTATTTATAAATAAATGAAAATACAATTTTAGATATACAGTTAGCTGGTTTTATTCCCAAAGAATTTCACAGTCCTGGTAAACAAGCGTGTGTTGAATCGTCATTTTGCAGCAATGCCTTCAGCAAATTGTATTTATGTAATTGTACAATAATGCTTAAAGTAGACAAAACAGTGAAACAGCAGAAATATGAAAGTATGAAGTAAAGTTCGGATTGTTTTGAAAATCTCTTGCCTTATTCGAATAATAATAGAATAATACCCAGTTACGAGCTGGCTGTACAGTCAAGGTTCCAAATTAATAATAATAACAACGCACACACTCAACATAGCCCCGTATTAGGGAAACCCTGTATTAACACCCTGAGTGCGTAAACAAGTATGTTCTTTAACAATAAAAACAATCTTATGATGTATTTAATATGTGCTCGACGATCATGTCCGGAAGTTGATAGCCACTAGTTGTGGAGGAAGTAAGAGGAACTAATAAAAGTGCATCGTCATTAGTATATAGGTACCCATACTAAATCTATGTAATTAATATACATACTTATATACTAGACATAGAGACTGAAGCTCCAATTTGGTCTTTGACGACCTTTGATTTCATCTCTAACAAGGGCTGGTAGCTGTAAAGGTAACTGGGTGATGAAATACTTAAGATTTTTCATAGATGGCACTACGGCTAAAAAGTCGTTGAAAAACCAAATACAAATATACGACGCAAACACGCAGAAAAAGTCATGAGGTGCGCTGGTATAGCGTCTGGCACGGTATGCTAGAAGTCGTCGGCTCGAATCTGGCCGGATCGAAGGAATTTTTTCTGAGTGTTCTATCTTTGTATTAATAATTATAATGTTATCTGATTCATAGCTCTATCGCTTTTTACTGCGTAAGTTGCTCAACTACATAGGAATTTTCTTGCATAAAAAAAATCATTCCAAAAAGTCAATGTAAGCAAATCAATGTGGCGTAAGCGGCGGCGGTGACGTAGCTTTATCCACTCCTTGCGCCTCTTCGCCCTCCTCCTCTGCTCCTTCTTCTTCCCCCTCGCCCTCCGCGTCCCCCTCCCCGCCTTCCTCCCCTTCCCCTGGCTCTTGCTCGACACTGGCATCTATGGTTTCTGCAGCAGTTGCCTCGGAATTCTCTTCCATCGTCTCTTCTTTGTTGGCCTCGTGACGCTTCTGCAAATTAACAAGGTTTTAACACTGCATGTGTAGTGGTGGAAATCGAAAGAAGTAGCTAGGCTTTGTGTACTTGTTGTTACGCACATAATACAATTTTAATTTCTACGATGCCGGGTTGAAAATATTGCATATCGTATATCGTCTTTGGTATCAATATAAGCAGCGAATTTTATCTCAGTATCCATTTTTCTTTTTCCATTGACATAAAAATGACTTACCTTTTTCTTTTTCTTAGCTTTCGGTTTAGGCTTGTGCTCGGGCTCGCTATATCCAGGCGGGAACAGTCTAGCGCAGTCTTCGCTCCCAATCACACAATCGTCGCTCACGTACAGCGGACCGAGTAACATTAGTTCCGTGGGTGGACCATCGGGGATTGATTCGGTAGGATCGATCATACCTGGTTCTGCCGGACCGACAGCTGCCATTAGGATTATGGTCTCTGCACTAAAAGATAAAAATGCGATCTTGAAGCGCCACATTGTTTTTCCACGTCGTTGCCATCGACAAAGATAAAAGATTTTCCAAGGAAATGCTTCCTTGTAGCCTCATTAAATTTACTTACTAATCCTTCTCTGGCCTCGACTCGTACTGATTAATGTTCTTGCACAGCAACTTAGGCTCCGCAACGTTGGCATCAGCGAAGAATCCGTATCTTAAGACTCGAGAAGCAACTTTAGGCAAAGCAGCCGCGGCAAGAACAGCACGACGTTGCCATGCGCCGAAGACCATGGCTACGTGTGGTGGTTCGGCTGGAGTAGGTGGTTCCACCACCGTGCTTACCATCTAAAAGTCAACTTTTAGATATATATCGCTGAAGGCATGTTTTACTTTCACAATTATCGTAACATCAACAACACTCTTCTGCGACGGTTTGCTAGAGTTGGTAAGTATGTTTTGGATTATTATAAAGTTTTTTCTCTTAAGAATTCTTACGAATACTTAAATGATAATTACGTTACCCTGACTACCTAGAAAGTCTAGTTTCTATAGTTATTTACCTTGGGAAACAGGAGATCTAGGATAGCCGCTCTTTGGTGTCTATCAACAGGGACTATGATCCCTGGTACCGAGTCATGGACTAATTCCTCTCCGAGTGTCTTCTTGGGCGTTTCTCCTTCTTCGACTTTCACTCCATCGCCGAAAAGAACTCTGCGACATATTTCTGCAAATAAATATTAAGTTCAGTTCGTTTTACATAGTGCTTTAGAATCTCGACAATTGAGGAGTAATTTTGTTTGTAGTCGGTCAAAAATGAACCACTAACTTACCAATAACATCGCCCTCCTTCTCGGGCATCTTTTTGAGCAGTAACGCCAGCGCCGGTCTTTCTGCAAGAGCAGTCATGGACGTTTCTGTGTTTAACGAGGGATCTTCCATTGCAAGACGTCTTACTCCATCCTTAGGCAGAACCATTGGACATTTGTCTGCTATTGTTACTCCTGGAAGTATTTTGATCAGCAATTGATTTGAGAAACTTTATACAGTTCAACGTGAGTCGTTTACTGCTGACATTACGTAACATTCGCGGCGAGCAGTTACGTTACGGCTTAGCCGACTGACCGGTATCATTGCTCGTTTCGAACATTGCGCTCGGTCATGCTCCGCATTCGCAGTCGAATTGTCGTTGAGAGGGGTCCAATAAAATTGTAATTTTTTTATATTTATCAATAAATAACAGAGTTTTATCCCTGTTAAACTTTATTGTTTTTAAAAGGAGAAGCGATGACGCTTGATATGTATGCACTTCCGACAATACGATCACGATCGTTGTCCGAGCTGTACAGTGGCCTAAATATTAGGGCGTAACGTAACACTCAAAGGATACCGACAATCGCCGCGAGCGCAGCGCGCTTGTTTCACTGTACTGACCATGCGAATGCTCGAGTTCGTATAATCCGGTCAGTCGCCGCCTTAAAAGATACAATTATTCGACTTTGATTTAACGATGTTTCCTGTCAGAAAACATGAACTTTGACTTTTAACTTTGATTTTTCTCAAATACATCTAACTGGTTTCCAGTCGGAACATCTTTACGCCCCAGAGCCAAAGTCCTTACCGTGTGGTTCCAAAGCGTCTGAGACCTTTCGAATGTGTTTTTGCGCGTGAGGCGTCATGAGCGCTGGACAGACGTCGAGGAAGTGCGTCTCGATGCGCTTTGCGCGCGCTTCGCGGCGAGCAAGTCGCGCCGCCTCCACTGCTGCTGCCTCTTTCGCTTGACGTTCTTGCAGGATCTTCTCTTTGGCATCTGCAACTTCCTGAAAGCATTGCAACTGCTTCTTTAATTTCATATAATGCCTTCACATTTTTGGATCTGGTGGTAACAGTTTTTATGTCCTGTTGCAAACAGATAAGCATCGGGTTCCTGCGACCATCTTTTGTGATCTTTTATTTATTTCTTGTTCTACTAACTTTGTAGTGCAGCAAAATTGTAGATTTCCTATTTGTGTAAAAAAATGTTCAATAAACATACACAGTTTTATATAAGGTTATAATAGGTAGTTTGTAATACGATAGTGTTCATGACACCTTAGAACTTTCGCCAGAGCTTAAAATTATGTCTGCAAAAAGAAATGTAGAGTTCTCATATGTTTTGACGACGACAGATTTATTTAAAAATTCGTCTTCAGTTTTTCATGCTAATGTTAATATTAATGTTACATTGAAAATTGTTTAATTTTCGTAAATATTTTTAATGAAAAGATTTATCAAACCTGTTCCTTTGGAGTAAGTTCATGCGGAGCTCTCTTTTCTCGCTGCAGTTCTCCCTTCTTCACGAGCTCTTCGTTCTTGAGCTCCTGCTCGATTGTGCGTGCAATTAGCGGGGCGTTCGCACCAAATATCACGTTCACTAGCTGACCCGACTGTAAAGATAACAGACACTTTGTAGAAAGCTTTTCATATTTACTAGCATTATATTAAACCTATAAAAACATAATTTTATACACACGTTGTGGTTATGTGGTTAGTTTAAAGTACATATGTCAGGAGCATTACAATATTTAAAGACATTTTTTAGAACATAAATAAATAGTCGATAGTAGTTTTACCAAGGTTGTAAAGGTTGTATACATAAATTGTTTGGAATAAAAAATAGACCAAGTTCACTCGCGTTTGGTCGATACCGTATACAGCGGTGCCATTCTGCTTCTTTCTACATATGACAACACATGCAAATGCATACTGTATACCATAGTTTATTCTCCAAACTGCCTATCATACACATACCTTATGTGCAAGGCCTTTAAAATCGAAATTTCCACTTCAGTTCTTGCGTGTCGGTTCCGATTTAATGGGGTGAAATGTCAAACTTTGTGGCGATGGAATCGTGTGAATAAGCTGTATTTAATCTTTTAATTTCTTCTATCTGTTCTCATGGATTAATTGGGAACGAACTATATGTAAACGTGCTGTTTTATATGTATATTAAATAGAAATTTGAAATACCGCTATGAACATCCATGTTGGCTCGCTGCGATCCCTGAACCGTTTCAAAGGTTCTATTGTGTCTGATTTTGCCTGAAAGAAAAATATTTTATACGAAGACTTTCGTGGTCGTCGAGGAGAAAGAGATGTACGTAGTTAGTGCAAAAGTACTTACAACTGCGAGATGCAAGTTGTCTCCGCCTATCTCTACCTTGATCTTCTTGAGGTTGCCAACCATGCCGATGCAGGGTCCACACCAGGCCGAATACACATCCACCACTGGCAGAAACACACGAAATAACTGATATAGTCTTATAAGCTAAACAATTCGAAGCGGCTCACCTACAAAAAAAAAATACATAGGTACTAAACGTCGAAGCGATTTGTTATACCTACTTATTTTGTCTAAAGCTATAGGTCATTTGACTTCAACGACTATGGGAATCTATGAAAGGTATGGGAATCACAAGAATAATAGACACATACAATAAAACTCACCTAATAATCCTTCTCGATTCAAAAACTTGTTCCATTCATCGTCAGTATTGAGTTCGGCTTGCAGCTGCACCTGCGCGGCTTTCTTGCCTTGGCCGGCAGCAGCGGCGGCAGCAGCGGCGTTGGCCACCGCACTCGTCAGCGCCATCGTCGCGAATGACGCGTGCCACGAGTGTAGTGACGAGGCGTGACGTGCGAGGTGCGAAATGGACGTGTGGGAAAGGTTCAAAGGAGTCAGTGTAAGAATGAGGTTTGGAGGAGGTGCAGAGATAAATGTAGCGAGTGAGGGAAATTGCGAGTGAAATTAGATTAAAATAGAGTAGAATAGAATTAATTTATTACAACGTCACAGCACAAAAATACACCTACATAAATAAATAAAAAAAGACAAAGCAAAAGTAAATAAAAAATAAAATTACAAAAAAAGAAAACAAAGAAACAAACATAACCCAACTTTTAAACAGTCAACTCAATTTGAATAAATGTCATGTATGCGTATGTAAAATGATCCACTCAGCTAATGTCACAAATTAATATATTTTGATGAGTAAATATTAGTAAAAAGTAAAGAAAAGTTGTGAGAAATCGTCGATATAACGCACTACGGTTAAATGGTTTGTTGCCAAGCTTAGAGCAAAGGGTGTAAACGGCTACGTCATCAGCCAGTTCGGCAAAAAAGTAAGATTTGCGGCATAGCGTGCAGGAATTCAATTCAATCTTTGGTGTCGTTGAGTCTTTGAGTTCATTATTTATTTAGTTTGAAAGTTAATCGTTTACTTATTCTGCATCGCTTTGAAACTCTAACCGAAGCCAACTTCCCGCATTTGATATTAATGTGGGTATAGGTATTTATTTATTTTTGTAAAATATTATTTTGTTATAAGAAAAAATTACTGTATGCTAGAAGACGCCGTTCGAATCCGACCGGATCGAAGGAATTTTTTTCTGAGTATTCGATCTTTGTATTAATAATTATAACAAACTAGTGGAGTAATTTCACAAAAATAATTGAATGAGAATTCAATAAAAATTTAAAATATTATTTTTTTAACTTTTATATTCTTTGACTCCTGTGGTCCTTATAATTAATTAGCTCCTGTTGAATTTAAGGGATGATAGATAGCTCATAAAGGCGTGCGGCTGGTAAACTGAATTGTTTATAACAAAACCAGTATAGTTTTACGTTATTAATTAATTTTATACATTTTATTACGATACTGTAGCGACATCTATGCGCGATAAACGAAATTACTTGACATTTGAGAATTAAGTTCAAACTTGTGCAGCGACATCTACATGAACTGTATATAACTGTTTCATTGTTCGTTTTGCTACTTGACACTAGATAGCGCATAAACATTTCGTCTTTTTTAATTAGTTTCAGAAAGGTTTTATAGATGGCACAGTGTTATGCTACAACGTGTAACGCTTAACATCGTCATATTTTTAAGTAATTTTGTACAAGTTGACATTAATAAATGACGATTCAAGCATTTCATATTGCTTGATCAATAATTTGAAGAGAAATTACTCGTAGTTACAGAATGTAAATAGCTACACAGGTACTGGAAACTTTGTTACCATTGTTTCTATCTGACCGAAATACGAAAACTAGTTGCGTGCTTATAAATTTTATTTGTGAAGAGGTTAAGATTCGTTCAATTTGACTGTTAGATGCCATCAGTCTCATGCATGACTATTAAAAAAATATATATCTATGAAATATTTTTACCTATGGCATTTGTATTTCATACTTATATCAACTTACTTTAGCAAATATCTCATGTTTAATAATGCATAATAATATTTACAACTACAGCTGTGAATGTTTAAGTATTGGAGTTCTAAGGTATGCTTCGTTCAAGTGCATCTGTTGCGAAGCAGAACGGTGGTAGTTCAGTGGGAAAATGGTTGTTTCTCAAATGAAAGTTTCACCGTTCCAAAGATATATGTCGCCACAGCGGTGACTTTTAACTTTAGTTTCTAAATTATGTACATTTATTAATGGTTACTAGAAGCAGTGGAGCTCCTTGTGAAGCAGATGCGACGTAGTGTCGCGTTGAAGAAGCTTATATACTCCACTAGAGTTTACACTTAGAAATTCATGTAGTTGCTTCAATCAAAAAACTCACTGAATTAGCAAATAAAACCGAAATTATAACTATCTTTTATCAAAATAACGATACGTACGCGCGTTTACGGCGCCTAAATACGCTACGTGCATAGGCTCTTATGTTTCAGGGTGACAGGCGTGGTGTCAGTGTCCCTGAGATCTTTGTGATTTAAAGCTGCTAAGGACAGGTGTGTCGCTTAACACCAGGCCCACGACTTGTTGGTCCCGTCACTTGGTAAAATTTTTAGTAGCAGTAAAGGAACACATCGCGACGAAACTTGCATGCACGTCGAAGAAGGTACACAGCCCGTGAAAAACGTCCAAGCATATCAGAGGGTGGACCATGGCCAAAGGCCTTATCTTTAGAAGAGACCTGCAACAAGCGGTGAATGTGTAATGAGTCGATAGTGATGCTGAAAGCCAAAATATGGATGGTTCATATTCTTCAGTGAAAGTTCTCATAAACGATGATAGTTTTTCGAATTTTATTCGATGTCTATGCGGTATATTACAGAGCAAAACGTTTCATAATATTCCATGCAAGATTACGGCGAAATTATTACCGTTATAATTTATTGAGGTAGTCAGATTTCTTGCGTATTGTATCCATCGCATGTCGTGCACGTCCCGGCACCGTGTAAGAAACGTAACCGGCCAATCAGTGGCTTCCGTAAAAATTCCAGCAGTTTTCGTTGTCAATGTAGTGAATTAATCATATTGTTTTGTCGATTTACGACTAGATTCCACAAGGTACAATACTTGTTCCTCCTTTATATTTACTTTACCATTGCTCTATTCGGTAAGATTTTTTTTGTGAATCTATAAAAACTAAGTAAATGATATTTATGCGTTGAAATCATGTATCAAAATGGAATCATGAAAAATATTACAAATACATCACCATCATCGTATTCAAGTGCGTTTTTTTATGATGATACGAACAAGTCGTTCGCCTGGTAATAACCGACATGCCTGTCCATAGCAGTTACAGTGTCTATTAGAGTTTTAAATCGCAAAGGGCTGAGGGACAATGCCACTGCGTTTGTCGTCCTGTGACATAAGTTGACAAGTCTCATGTACCTGTCAATTCACCAGCACCCTTAGCCATGTCCACATTACTGCTTAGCGTCAGAAATAGGTAAGGTGGTAGTACTTCCTTGGACGACTCTTTTACAGGCTCTACCGCTAATCTAAACATTTACAAATGTAATTAGAAACTAAAATCATAGGTACATGCCGCTACATGGATCACAAACATTTTCAACTTTTTAAATGAGAATCAAATATTCCAAAGATTTAAAGATTCCAAATGTTTATTTCCCAAGCCACAAGCGACCACAGCCTCAGGCCATGATCCACCCTCTGATATGATTGGACGTTTTTCACGGGTTGTGTACCTTCTTCGACGTGCATGCAATTTTCGTCTCGATGTATTCCTTTACTGGTACTAAAAATTTAACAAGTGACGGGACAAACAAGTCGTTCTCCTGGTGTTAAGCGACACGCCTGTCCATAGCAGTTACAGTGCCACTCAGAGGTTTAAATCGCAAAGATCTTAGGGACACTGCCACTGCGCCTGTCGTCCTGTGCTATAACTTGATAAGTCTCATGTGCCTGTAAATTCACCAGTACCCTTACCCATGCCCACATTACTGCTTGGCGTCAGAAATAGGTAAGGTGGCAGTACTTCCTAGGTCTCTTTTTACAAGGTCTACCGCTAATCAACATACAAACTAAACATTTACAAATGTAATTAGAAATTAAAATCATCGGTACATGCCGCTACAGGGACCACAATTTCAACGTTTTAATTGAGAAACAAAGATTCAAAAGATTTAAAGATTCCAAAGGTTTATTTCCCATGTCACAAGCGACCACAAGACTGGAAGTTATTTCCGACGAAGAATAATTTTAGCAATTCAAAGGGGGAAGGCTGGCAAGCCTTCTGAGCACGATCTGACGAATCCGTGTCATGTACGGTCCTCGAGGAAATTTTCCGTTTATTAAATTTCTTACATTTTTTTACGTATCTATCTGTTATAGTTTACTTTTTAGTTTGTGGTCATTAAAGTACATGATATATTGAATTTTTAGTACGCATAACGTTAAAATATTTTATAGGATGGATTTTTTTTTAAAAACGCTCTTGTCTTTCTTTTAAATGTTAAGGCGGAAAATTCGAATAGTAGGCATTGGTGGTTCATTGTATAATTTATCTCTAGACAGTAACGTTGCTTAGCAATTTTTTGCAATTTCGATTTTGGTAGATATTTAGATTGTCTTTGTTCCTAGCATTGTAAGTGTGTATATCTCTGGCTCTTAGTTACCCTTCTTTTGGACAATCGTTACTCTCACCAGGCTACAACCGCTCTTGATCTAACCATTATTTAGGTGTGCACGCTCCCGGGCGGCGTCGTGGTGAATGTTCACCGGGCGGCGTCGTGGTGAATGTTCACTGATCCCACGGCGCCGACTCAACCGGCTGAGAGGGAAACCCGGGGGGGTTTTAGTGGGGTAGGCCCTCCAGTCTGGAGGGAGAGTCCCCACATAACCCCTGAGTCTCCCTGGGCTCAGGGGTATCCATAAAGATTTCCCCCCCGGCCAAAAAAAAAAAAGGTGTGCACGCTCCATCGTCGACTTCATCGTCACTTTTTATCAGGTGAGATGGAAGTCAAATGCGCACTTATTTTTCAATAAAAAAAAATTGAACAAAACCAGCAAAATAAGCAGTTGCTTAGAGCATCACGTCACGGGTAGCTTCAACATAGAAGCACTGTGTTCCATCTCTTGCTTATGGCAGCAAGCTTTTGCCAATTTCAAAATACTTCTCTTCCATTGGTTACAGTCATTACAGGTTTTTTGATGTTTGGAACAATATTGCAAAGTATACAAAATTAACATTAAGTCAAAGTCAAAGAATCATTTGTTCCATAGGTAAAATAAATTTACACTTGAAAACGTCACATTTAACCTACTGCTCGATCGATCGATTATGGTCGAAACAAGTCGGCCCGCTGCCGACTAAAATACTACGCGAGTAAGTCCCGTTACTTTTATATTATAACCTACTGCTCGTTCGTTATGCTGACTTCCTTGAGAAGAACGAGCAAGAAACTGTAGGGATTGCTCTTTTCAAATAAACTTAAATGCTATGGAATGCACTTTGAATAAAATTTGTGTGGAATCTAAAGCTATGTCGTCGTTTCGTCAATTTTGTAAAATGATTTTTCAATCAAAATATTTTTAATGTACTTTTAAGCTTAGGAAATCATAATCTTAATATATGCTCTTTGCGCATATGCGCAATCTTATTATAAAAACGTATGCAGTTCCCCATAAAAGAATCGTTTCCCTTGGTGAATTGAAATCGTGGTATTATGAGTTTGGACTTAGCTCTAAGGTTAATATTATGGATATCTTCTTTCGTATTGAAATTATGTATATTTTTACGGGCATATAAAATATTTGATTAAATGTACTGCGATGCCACAGTCATAATACCAGTCTCCTTAAACTTTTCTTTGGGAGAAACCTGAGAACCTAAACGGTATACAGAACGATACGCTCGTTTTTGTAATAATGGTTTGAATGTCTGCCACGTACCCCACATGAGAACCGCGTAGGACATTATACTATGAAAGTAACTAAAGTAAACTAGTCTAGCAGTACTAACATCGGTAAGCCCACGTATTCTGCGGATTGCGTATGCAGCGGAGCTTAATCTGTTGGCCAGGGAAGATATAATAATATGTGGAAACTATTGAAGCTTTCTATCTAAGGTCATTCCCAAGAAGACTGCTTTATTAACAAGGTCTAACTTTTCTCCGTTTATTTCTATGCATTGATTAGTGGATTTTACGTAAGGTAATTCAAATTTAACACACATTGTCTTCTTGGCATTAAGCAATAAATTGTTAACTTTAAACCAATAAACTACCTTAGAGAGGTATCATCAATATGATCAAAGTGAACGTCATCAGCAAACAACTCTATTTCGCAATGATCCTTAACAAAGAACGGTAGGTCATTAATATAAATGAGAAATTAGAAAGGTCAAGTACTGAGCTCTGATTAAAAAAATATCTACTTTAAATTATAATATGTTAAAACAGGATAGAAAGATAAAATATATCGTAGATTACAGACAGATCGTAAGTTAAAAAGAAACGATTGGCTATTTGTGTTAGCTCCTGTATTATTTAATAAATTATCAGCATTGAGTAATTATCGCATTAAAATACCTAAATTGTAGGCAATATACAATATAATTGCACAATTATCTTAGTTAATCAGTGCTATTACGATGTTACGGATTTTTTAAATACGTAATGTTTTTACCTTTGGACAAAATTAAAAAAATCTTGTTATACTCTGTTTACTTTTTAAGTAATTAAAAGAAATTGTTATGTTTACATGCCCAATGTTAAACCGGGTTAGGGCAGTCGTTTAAAGAGGATGACATACGAGTCACCAGACCATTAAAATGTGCAGAGTTGCGCGTAACTGGCCTAGACGACTCAATTTCTGCGAACGACGTTACAGCTGCTGTTGCTCAGGCTGGAGGATGCCCAACAGGGGCCGTAAGTGTGGGTGACGTTCGATTGGATCGGAGGGGGCTTGGCACGGCCTGGGTGCGCTGTCCAATCGCCGCTGCCAAAAAAATTAATCAAGGTGGTAGATTACAGGTAGGTTGGGTCTCTGCACAAGTGAAAGTGCTGCAGCAGAAACCCATGACCTGTTATCGATGTTTGGAAAAGGGTCACGTCAGAGGGCAATGCGAATCAGCGGTGGATCGTAGCGACCTGTGCTATCGCTGTGGCAAGCCTGGACACAAGTCCACAGGCTGTCTTGCTGAGCCGCATTGTGCTCTCTGTGAAGCGGCGAAAAAACCTGCGGCGCACAAAATTGGAAGCAACATTTGTACTGCACCTTCCAGTAAAAAAGGGAGAGTTGTTGTTGGCGAAGCTGAGGTCCGACAGCAGACGGCTCGCCCCGTAGACGGAGAAATGGAAGTGGAGGATACAAATTCCAAGTAATGGCCCTACATATTCTACAGGCGAATATCAACCACTGCGCCAGGGCTCAAGATCTTTTGCTCCAGACTATGGCGGAGTGGTTGATCCACGTGGCAGTGGTGGCGGAACCATACTTCATTTCTCCTAGGGCGGACTGGGTTGGTGACAATAGTGGGACAGTGGCCCTAATCTCACAAGGAGCTTTAGGTTCCCCACCCTTCGAAGCAGTAACGAAGGGTACGGGTTATGTGTCGGCACTTTTGGGCGAAATAGTTGTGGTGGGGGTATATTTCTCCCCGAATAGAAGTCTCTCTGATTTTGAGACTTTCCTGGTGGAGTTGGGTGCCCTTGTTGGTAGGAGTCAACCTCATCATGTACTAGTATTGGGGGACCTCAACTCCAAGTCAACAGCTTGGGGCTGCCCCTTGACAGACGCGCGAGGTGAGGTACTGGAGGAGTGGGCCCTCTCGACTGGACTCATCATCCTCAATCGTGGTTCAGTCAACACGTGTGTGCGTCAACAGGGTGGGTCCATAGTGGATATTTCGCTCGCTAGTCCGACTCTTGCGCGTCGTGTTCGGGGTTGGAAGGTCATGGAGGAAGCGGAGACATTATCAGACCACCGGTATATCCGGTTTAATGTCTCTGCCCAGACTTCCGTCATTTCTGCCCCACAAGCTTTGAGAGAGGTTGGCCCTCGTTGGGCGCTCAAAAGCCTGGATCGTGAACTGCTAGTGGAAGCTTCGTTGGTCCAGGCTTGGGTGAAAGCGCCGGAAAGGCCCGAGAACATAGAGAATGAAGTCGAATGGTTTCGCGGGGCGATGACACAGGTCTGCGATGCGGCGATGCGCAGGGTCAAGCCCAGACATCCGTCTCGTCAGACGTACTGGTGGTGCGCGGAGATCGCCCAGCTTCGTACCGCTTGCGTGATTGCGAGACGCCAGTATTCCAGACACCGGAGGAGGCGACAACGGCGCCAAAATGTTGAAGACCAGTTGTACGAATCGTACAGAGCGGCCAAGACGGCTCTACAGCTGGCCATCGCAGATTCGAAGGCTCGGGCCAATAAAGAACTGTTAGGGACTCTGGACAGTGACCCGTGGGGTCGCCCTTATTTGTTGGTTCGAGGTAAACTTCGTGGCTGGACTCCTCCACTTACACAAAGTCTTCGACCACAAATATTGCAAAACATTGTGTCAACTTTGTTCCCGTCCAGGGCAGAACATTTGCCCCCATCAATGGCGTCAACTGAAAACGTGCAAATTGCGGACCCTCATGCTCTAGAAGTGACCAATGCAGAGTTGGACGTGGCGGTACTGCGGCTTCGCGCCAAAAAAGTCTCTCCAGGCCCAGATGGCATTCCGGGTTGCGCTTGGGTCTTGGCCCACGAGGCCTTGGAGTCCAGACTTCGTGGCCTCTACAGTGCTTGCCTGGAACGGTCACAGTTCCCGACGCAGTGGAAAATAGGAAGGCTGGTCCTATTAAGGAAGGAGGGGCGACCAGCTGATTCGCCGTCTGTCTATCGCCCTATAGTACTGCTCGACGAGGCGGGCAAGCTTTTTGAACGAATAATCGCTGCTCGCGACATCATCAACGGAGGGTCCAGACCTATCGGAAAAACAATTTGGTTTTCGCTACGGTCGTTCGACGGTTGATGCGGTCCTGCATGTCAAGACTCTAGCGAAGGAAGCTGTGTCCCGGGGTGAGGTGATATTGGCGGTATCTCTGGACATTGCCAATGCATTTAATTCCCTGCCCTGGAGCTGTATCAGGGAGGCGCTCCTTTACCACAGGGTGCCTCACTATCTCTGCCGAATAGTTGCAGATTACCTCTCAAACCGCAAGGTAATATTTCAAGGGCAGACTGGGAGGGGTCAGCGCGAGATGACGTGCGGTGTTCCACAGGGCTCGGTCTTAGGGCCACTCCTGTGGAACATCGGGTACGACTGGGTGCTTCGCGGGGTCAATCTCCCGGGTGTCAGCGTAATCTGCTACGCTGACGACACCCTGGTCACAGCTCGAGGGAAGACCCACCGCGAAGCAGCTATACTCGCTACAGCTAGTGTGGCACACACGGTGGCGAGAATTCGCCGTTTGGGACTGGAGGTGGCCTTGAATAAATCTGAGGCTCTATATTTTCATGGGCCTCGGAATGCTCCGCCTCCGGGTTCCTATATAATGGTTGGGGGTGTCCGAATCGCCGTCGAGTCGACAATGAAATACCTTGGACTTGTTCTTGACGGCCAATGGGATTTCGGCGCCCACTTTCGTATGTTGGCGCCAAAATTAATGGGAACAGCAAGTTCTTTAGCAAGGCTTCTCCCTAACTTGGGGGGTCCGAACACGGCCTGCCGTAAACTATACGTGGGTGTTGTGCGGTCAATGGCACTGTACGGAGCCCCTGTATGGGTGGACACTCTGTCGCGGCGGAACATCATCATGCTGAGGAGACCGCAGAGAGCAATAGCCGTTAGGGTAATTCGAGGTTACCGCACAGTTTCATTTGAAGCTGCTTGCCTGCTGTGTGGATCACCTCCATGGGAGCTCGACGCAAGAGCTCTTGCGTCGTTTTATTTCTGGAACAAGGAGGTACAAGAACGGGGTGACCGCCTGGCTCCGCAGGAAATGCTGGGCAAAAGGGCTGAAATTCGCCGGAGATTGATATCGGATTGGGAGGAGAGACTTGCAAAGCCCAGCGCTGGTTACAAAACCATTGCCGCGGTGCGGCCAGTCCTAAACAAATGGTTGGAAAGACAACATGGCACGCTCACCTTCCGGCTGACGCAGGTGCTCACGGGACATGGTTGTTTCGGGAAGTACTTGTGTCGGATAGCCGGAAGAGAACCCACAGAGGAGTGCCACCATTGTAGTGTGTGCCCGGAGGACACTTCACAACACACTGTTGAGGAGTGCCCAGCTTGGGTGGAGCCACGCCGTACCCTGGTGGCCGCAGCAGGCAGCGACCTTACACTGCCGTCCTTAGTGCGTGCTATGGTCGGCAGTGACAGGTTGTGGGAAGCGGTGGTTTCCTTCTGCGAAACAGTAATGTCGCAGAAGGAGGCTTCGGAACGTGAGAGGGAGATATCCACCTCTCACTCTATCCGAAGCAGGCGGACGGGGCGCAGGAGGTTGCGCGATGACCTCCAGCCCCCGTAAAATGGGCCCATGAGCGGCAGTCTTAGGGGAGACTGCCGCTCGTTACTGGGGGGCCCGAGATGGCGGCGTTTGTGTTCCACGTCCGCCTCTCAAGACGGCTGACGGGGAGGTAACATCTTTCCCTGGAAAGCGAGACGGGGTTCGACTCTCAGTCGAACCGCTCACCACCGGAGTCGCGGAAGAATGCGAAAGCGCTCCCGTGACTCCGGCACATGGTGAAGAGAGGGAACACCGTCAGGTTTTAGTCGGTAGGAGTCCGACATAACCCTTCGTCTCCCCCGGGCGAAGGGTATCCATGAGGATTTCCTGACGTTAAAAAAAAAAAATCCGTCACGCTGCAATTCCGTGTCCCAGGGAAAAAAAATCGAGACTCGAGATACCCGGGATAAGCGAGACTTTCGAGACTATTTCAAAAGTAGGTTTCCATATTTAGGCAGTGAAAATATGTATTAATCAAGTTCTTTATAAACTCAAGATTTATTATTTACGAATCTTCATTTTTACAGACAACTTCCGAGCTTCACGGAAGAAACAAAGTTGTCATTTAGTTTTAGATAGAGTGAATCTGATTTTATTATTATCAGTCTCTAATGATCGCAAATTAATTAGATTGAGCTGGCCCAACAGTGGTTTTTTACAAAGTCTCACTGTTGGGCGTACTGTCACATACTGTCCCACTGTTGGGCCAAGGCCTCCTTCCCCTCTCTCCACATCTCTCTGTTTTGCCCCACTGGTCCTGTCTTTTAGGTGCGCGTCTAGCTCGTGGTCTAGGTTGTGGGCGTTTTCTGTTTTTTGGGGATCCATTCTGTGGTAGATTCAGCCCACGACTCGTCGGACATGATTAGACTCTTGAAATTTTCGAGATTGAGTTTCCCGGAATATAGTGTTCGCACAGTGAAACTATACATATTTATTTTGTTTAATAAATGAGCTACAAACTACTTGTGACGTCACTCTTTAACAGTGCCATACAAGGTACATACTGTATTGTTAAAAAAGTGACAGTGTCTCCTCAAAAGTAATTTTAACTAAGTATTTATATCTCTGGTGCTGGTGGAGATTTCGAAAACTAATTTCTCAATCATCAAAAAGCTCATGTGACTTAAACAGTGTGATAAAAAAATAAGTTAATTTCTCTATTATGAGTTATAAACGGTTAAAAAAAAGCAAATCCTGTAGAGGCATTATTTATACTTAAGCTTGGTTGGTTTTTATATACGGGGGGATACATTATAGTCTGCATATTTGTAAATTGTGTTCAAAAGTAGTTGGTTGAGGAAGCAATGAAATTCCACAAAATCTGGCCCAGTGGCTGCTGTGGAGGCATATCGTAGTTTGATGTTCATTCAAACAATAATACAAAGATTTAGAAGTAGATATAACCTTTTAATATAATGAATTCTTTATTGTTCCCAGGCCTATAGTTTTTCAAAATCTATAGAAAATTGTCTTTAGTCTTTGATAAAATTACGTAAAATAGGACAATTTTGGAATGGAAGTTGATGAGGTTTAATATATTATTTAACGGGAAAGGCAAACCACGACTCTCCGTATCTGTGGCGAGGCGTCCAAATAACTCGATTCCCTTCGGTTTGCCTAAAAGTTTCTAATTACAAATATTTTGAAGTAACTCATTACATTTTTTTTTCAATTTTACGTGTAAAATGATTAACCAGTGAAATAATTGTCGCCAAAGCACCATTTTGTCAAAAGGCAAGAGTTTTTCTTTTCTTCAGGTTCGATTCCCGGGCCGGGAGAAATATTTGTATGGCCTATATTTATTTCTCTCGAGACTTTGGGTGTAATTTGCTGTTGTCTATGTGTGTGTCCATGGCACCCGCGACACAGGGTTTCCCTAGTGCGGG